GACAGACAGACAGACAGACAGACAGACAGACAGACAGACAGACAGACAGACAGACAGACAGACAGACAGACATAGGCAACCGAAAACATTACCTTGCCCTTGGTGGAGGTAATTATACTTTTGGCTGGATATAAGAGTGTAAAACTTGGTTAGATGGACACATTTTGCAGTGTATCTCTTCACCCAACTAACACCAAACACTAAACTTAAGCAGTTATTATCATTGATGCTCTAAAACACTTAGTTAATTTACTGACCTTCATCTTTGGATTAGTATCAATGTTTTAAAGTCCCATGGCAGTCTGAGATCTTCATAATGATCACACTTAAATAGCAACAGCAAATAAGCCACCAAATAACAATAAACGTGATGCTCTTCTTGCCGTATTGTAAATCCTGAAACTCAGTGTTTCCACTGTTCTCCTTGGCTTTACTCTCACCATCCTTGGGAACCTGTGAACGAAGGAGGTAATGCTCTTACACACTGATCGTCGCGTGCACTGTGACAAAGGTCACGATGGGGCACGGCGTCTCATCCGCTATTATTAACTGCACTAACAGAATAATAGGTGAGGGTTAAGAAAGATTAGAAAGTATAGGGCTGAGAATCAAAGAAGGTGGAAGTAGAGAGAAGGCAAATTCAGTGGACATTCAAATCGGTGCTAGTCAAATTTGTTTCGTCTCACAGAGGAAGTCTGTGCACAGCTCAGACTTCACAAATTTAAATGTCTGACTTGAAGTCATGATCCTGCTGGGCAGCCTCACTGGACCTGTAAAGTTGCAAACCAGTGAAGTAACTTTCATAAAGAAACCCTTTAAGTGCTTTAGGACTTAAGAAGACGTTAGCCATGTGTAAAACTGCAGTTCCAATGTGGAGTGAATGAGCTTCATCATCTCATCAAGTCTGGAACAAAATGGACAATGTCTTCATGATGGAACGACATAAACCCCCTTATATAAGGAATATGAGAACTCCTATTTAAAACCTCTGTAAAATAAAAAGCAGTGGGGTGCAAACAAAAGCACCTTTACTCTTTAGACATTCCTCAATTAGACCGGTGCAACGGCAGATCAAAGCTGGGATAATCCTTGGGCTAAAAAGACTGGTCCGTCTACGGACCTGAGAATGAGTGAGTGTCCAACGCTGGCTGACAAGTGAGCGTGTCGTTAACGAAGGGGATAGGAGAGGATCCAGAAACAGAAGAGGAAGCAAAATGGATGAAGATGTGAACCAGATAAGACAATGAAGCAGCAGTGACTGTAAACCGGAGAAGCAGAGCGAGGGAGGGGAGGTCTGTGGTTGGTGCGCTGCTGTGTGACGTCAGCAGCTTGTTGGACTGAGCTGCTGTGTCCTGCTGATTTTAATCCTAACTCATTAAGGAACTGAGAGCAAGTGCCTGTGTGAGTCCWCCAGGGAGAAGAGAGAAAGTGGCTTGAGAAGGAAGGAACAATCCATTAAGGGAGATAAGTGGACTTATTTCACAGCTTGTGGGACACACACAAAAAAAGGGTTTTGATTTTCATTTCAGTTTGGATTTTCAGTCTCATGCCTACTTCCCCTTGTTTTTCCTAAACCTCTCTGCTCGCTGTCTCGACGCGCGGCCTGGCCAAAGCATGCCGACTAACGGAATTAACCGGGCTCTGAAGCTGCAGTTTGGTCTAATTAACTATGGGAACCGCTACCTGACGGCTGAGGCCTTCGGCTTCAAAGTGAACGCCTCAGGCGTCAGTTTGAAGAAGAAACAAATCTGGACCTTGGAACAGGACGAACAGGATGGTCAAGTGGTCTTCCTGCGCAGCCACTTGGGACGTTATCTGGCGTCTGACAAAGATGGGAAGATCACATGTGGGGCGGAGAAGCCTGACCCTGAATGCCGGTTCCTTATCGTGCCCCAGTCTGATGGTCGCTGGGCGCTCCAGTCAGAACCGTACCAGCGTTACTTCGGCGGCTCTGCTGACTATCTGTCCTGCTTTGCTCAGGCCATCGGCGAGCAGGAGCTGTGGGCCGTTCATCTGGCCCTACACCCACAGGCCAGCCTCCTCAGCGTGGCTCGGAAACGCTATGCCCACCTGTCCGCCTCCGACGGGGAGATCTCAGTGGACAGCAACATCCCCTGGGGGGTGGACTCTCTGGTGACCTTGGTGTACCAGGAGGGCAAGTACAGCCTGAAGACCTGCGACAGCCGCTTCCTCAGCAACGACGGCAAACTGGTGAAGGAGAACAACAGCACCACCAGCTTCACGCTGGAGCTGAAATCTGGCAAACTGGCCTTTAAGGACTGCGATGGGAAATACCTGACCCCAGTGGGCCCCACAGGAACGCTGCGCTCCGGCCGATGCTCTAAGCCTGGAAAAGACGAGCTTTTCGATCTGGAGGAGAGTCACCCACAAGTAGTTTTTCAAGCTGCTAATAAAAGATTTGTTTCAGTCAAACAAGGTAATAAACTGAGAGGTAGTGTTCGCTTCATGCAGTCACAACTTAGCTCCAAGTACTTCACAAAGTTCACGGGTTGGTATTTACTCATTTYAACAGTTATTAACCTCTTAAAATGCTTTAATTTTATTCAACAGGAATGAAGATAATTGAAATATGAAATAAGTTTAGGGGAAAGGTTTTTCTACGTAGCACAGAGAGACAAATTATGCTAACATGCTTGGCCAAGATGGATTTCCATAAAAGGAAACAGAAAATTATGAAAAAAAACTGGAAAAGTGATGATATTTTGCAACAAACCAAGATTTTTGAGCACTTTTATTTAAAGTTGACATTCAATGAAGACTGATGTAAAAAGGTGCAACAGCTATAATTTTTGCTTATATGCTCATTCTTTTTTCTTGTCATTTCGTCAAATGAGTGCTTGCCCGCTTTAATTTTATTGCAGTTTTGTGTTTATTTTACTTGCTTTTTGTGCATTCCCAWCATTGATTACTAAATTTGAAAACCYATGCTAAAAATGTRCTGGACAATTTAAAGACATAGAATTTTAGTTTGAGCTAAGAGTTGAGCTTAAATAATGACGTACCATTTAACACATAGAAATAGAGCAGAACCACCACTGAGTTTAACTATCATCCTGTTTTTATATGGATATAATTGGTTCTTATGGGAGTGTTTTTGCAGTCCCACAATATTAAATTAAAATAGCAAATCTGGAAGCTAATTCAGCTTTTTTTTCTACGTGTTGGAGCCAGAATGTTGGTGGCCATATTGTAGAGGTCATTGTGGTAATGGGCTTTGTCATTTTCACTGTGTGTCCTTTAAAGATTAAGTAGTGTGCAAATGACTGCGGGGCAGATCTGAGCTACAGTGGTGTCACTTACTGCCAATGGGCTTTAATTCTTCGAGCTACTCGCACTTTACAATCGCCCATCGAGTGAAATTCTCATAAACTCTGTTAATGTGGTACTAAAGCAGCAGCAGTGTTTTTTTTAGACATATCAGTGACAAGAAGCCGTCGTAGTGTTGTCTGCTGAGTTTAATTGTGCAGTGTGAAAAAAAAACAAGAGCGAATTTAGTTCTGTTTTATCTTCAAACATATAAGTAATTATAGCATGTCTTTTTTATATATTTGTAAACTTTCTTGACATTTTTTTGCATTGAAGTGGATTTTTAGGCTAGCACAGGTGTGAATACNAATTTAGTTCTGTTTTATCTTCAAACATATAAGTAATTATAGCATGTCTTTTTTTATATATATTTTTAAACTTTCTTGACATTTTTTTGCACTGAAGTGGATTTTTAGGCTAACACAGGTGTGAATACATTTCTCTGTTGTTCATTTCTAAACAGGAAACAGTTCATTAAACTGCTTCTCCTCCTCCACTTTTATTAAACAAAACAAATTAAATTTTTTTAGTGAAGTATTTGGGCTTGTGGCAGCTCCATGTTTTTTTTTTTTTGTCTTTTTCTTTTCTTTTTTTTAAGGACCAAGGCACTGAAAGCTGCTTAGTGGGCCCAGCAGTGCAGATTTGCATTTCGCCACTCAGGGAATTACAGCGTGCGAATGAGCAGGAAGGGTGCGGGGAGTGGGGTGGGGAGTGACTGAAGGGGATTAGCGTTGTAACTGGATTAAGAGAAAGGTTGAAGGATATTTCTGTGGCACCTAAATTAAACTACAGCAGACACAGTTCAATTACAGGCGATGTGTCTGTGTAATCACAGCCACTGACACACCCCACAAACCAGTTTCTACATGTGGATTAGGAAAGCAACACCAAACTGGATGCAAGTGAGTTATCTGAGTGGAGCAGGAAACAACATGACTAAAAACAATGGTATCGTTTTGTGCCTGAACTAAACAAGTATTTTTATTTTATTTTATTTTATGTTATTTTTGCATACAATACAAATCACAAGTTGGTGAAATGGAATTTGCTTAAAAGTGAAAGTAAAGCACTACAACATATGGTTCACACATGGCCACTGAGCATTTATTTAAAATTATTATAACCCCAAATTATATTTGTTTATCTGGGTTGTTTAAATGCACTTTAATGCTGATTTTAAAATGAGAAAGGGAAAATAACATCACAACATTAAAATGATGTTACAATAAAATCACCAACTAATTTGTTTTTCTTGTAATTTAGCAAACAAGATTTCCTCTTATAAGCTTTATTTTACACATTTGTTGAGATATCTTGGGAAATAAGCACAAATAATGATAATTATCGTTGTGTTTTTAGTCTACCCTGAAGCGGTTCATATATAAAAATTGGACGGTTCAGACGGTGGTTAGAGCTGTTGCCTTTCAACGAGGTGGTTGCAAATTCCCTCCCTGGTTTTGAGCTTTTCTGGGTGGCGTTTGCATTTTCTTCATGATGTGCATGTTTTTCAAAGTATTCAAAAAAGATGAGCGGATGCATGGATGTTTGCCATTAAACCACTAGATGTCACCAAACTGTGCATATTGGACTAGAAACACAAATTTGCCTAACAAAACAATTCAAAAGAACAAGATAGGTAACACTTCCACATAATATTTGTTTTTAAATGAAGCTACCTTTTCCACGAACCGTCATCTTATTGGTTATTAATTATAATACTGTAATAAAAGAAATACTAATGCAACCATTTGGTTAATGAAGGCTCATCAGCTATATAACAGCATGAATTAAAAAAACAATGAAAATATTGTAAAAATAAATAGCAAATATTAAATTATATTGTGTTTAATGTTTTCCCAGGTGTTACGTTTAAGCATGAAGAAATGATTAAAAGCATTGCTTTCTTTGAAAGCTAACCTTATTTGCTGCTTGTGAGGAGGAAGGAACACTAACACTGAAAAAAAACACAAAAATGTAATTAAACAAAAGTACCAGTAGAGTTGTAGTTAGTGCTGAATCAATTATGTACTTGAAYACAAATTTACACAAAATTTGATTCAAAAGACATTCATAGGGATGAAGTCTTGTGACTATTTTTTTTCTGATAAAAACACAATTATCACAAGTGTTTTTCTCTCCTTGTTACCAGGAGTGAGCATCTCAGCCAATCAGGATGTGGAGACAGACATGGAGACTTTCCAGATGGAGATAGACAAGGAGAGTAAAAAGTCTATGTTCAGGACCAACGGAGGATCCTACTGGACTTTAGTGACTCACGGAGAGATCCAGTCCACTGCCACAGATGTGTGAGTAGCTTTTAGGACCATTAAAGAAAAGATCTGTAAATAAATAGTAAATAAATACCAGCAGACACCTGCAGCACAAGCACATACTAACCAACTACTTTTCATTGTGAACTCAAACTGATGCACTCGGCATCGGGGCCTGCTTGTGACATAGGTGGTATAGGCAAATGCTAAGGGCTCTGTCTATCTAGGGGGCACCACAAATGAGGCATGAATAAAACCTTGTCATTACAATTGGAGTATACCCCTGGACCCCTCTAGACGTTCCCGTTAACATGCACAGATGTTCATCATTGCTGTCAGCAAGCGTTGGCAGGTAGACTTCTGGTATTCTGTTTCAAATGAATTATATTGTTAACTATAACTGCGAACCTGGTTTCTAAAGATAAAAATAATATCAAAGATAAAACTATTTAATTTGGTATGGAAATGTATGGAAATTAACAGGGAGATTTAGAAAATTACACAAGTGGCTCCATGTGAAATCTTGCCAAGGCTGCCAGATTGGCTAGAGCTGGCCGTGCTCTACATTAACTGACTGTGCAAGAGCTGGGAATTCTTTCTTTTACGTTACCCTTATTACCGTGTAATTACAAGGTAATAAAAAATGGTAATTAAATGTAATTACTACCTCATTACCATGTAATTATGGTACAGAAGAAAAAAAAGCTATTGGTAACTACAATCAAATTACTATTCAATAGTAACTCAACACTATATTTATGACCAAAACAATGCAACTAAATTTTGGGGTTATTGGTTAATTGCAATAAAATATAACTTTAACACTGTCCAAATTACCTACTACTTATTTAGGTGTTACATAGTGAATTGTAATACATTACCAGGTAAGTGCTAATGCAGACAATTAATTACATAGTAAAATTGCACCCTAATTACCACATAATTACATAAGGTAGAAATTACATTTAATCACATTTTTATTACCTTGTAAGTACATGGTAATAAGGGTACCGTAAAAGAAAGTGTTACCCAAGAGCATTGTTTAATTTTTTGACAATAACTAATAGAATAAATGCTGTTAGCAAAACATCTAATAAATAAATATATATGTATTAATTAATATTAATAATTGCTCTGAGGCCACGGTTAATGCAGGCCAATAGGACAGGGGCTGAACAACATTCAACATTCAACAAGTCATTATGTTAATAGACYAAGTATTACAAAGATCTGTTACCTTCGAAATAGCTTATTTTGCTGCATTTAATCATGAATAAAAAACATAAAGAAGTGATAATGAAACAAAATATAATTGTTTGAAATAATCAAACAAAAACACATCATGCCTTCTATTTAACACAAAGATTATTTTGACATGTCTTACTTGCCAAATTTTTAAACCAATTTTATTTTCAGTTTCACAGTTTTATCTTCAACTGCTTGTAGTTTTAATTGTCTCGGATGTTCATAGAAATGTTGTTTTTACTATTTAAGATTCTGGATTTTCTATAGACACCACACATGTCTATGTTTAACTAAACAAACTTAGAGTAATTAAAGTAGAAAACCAAGGGTTGGGCTGTAAAAGATGAATGAACCAGTTGGCGGGTCGAACTTTGAACACTTGTGGGCTGGATGAGGTCCGCAGGCTGCCACTTGGATAGCCCTGTTTTATAGTCACCGCACTTCAAGATGGCTGCCTATCCAAATGTAGTTAGTAAACACAAAAATAGGCTTTTACAGATTTTGAATTAAAATTCAGAATGGTAATAAACTTGTTGAAACTAAACTAATGAAACTAAAGTAAGAAAATAGCGGCTGAATCTACAACTGATTGACTTGGAGTCGACAAAGTGGCCAATAATGATGGCAGCTAGCTGGCTTGAACTTACACAAACATTATACAATCGGTGAATTTTACAGGTAATGAGCTAAAACTTGGTGAGGCGTTAGCTGACAGGAAATTACAACACATGTTCCAAACATGATCAAATCCTGTGAGATAGAAAAAAAATTCAGCAATTCACTCAATTCTCAAGATTAGATATTAGTTTAAAACATGAAACATAGTAGATAATATGAAATTTCTTCAACAAAGGCCTTTAATTCTTCCTTTTGCTTATTCATGCCC